TGGGAAGAGGTAACTATGGGGAGGAAGTGGGAGGGGAGCTGTTGCATTGTGGTAAACTGTGGTCAATGTCATGAGACCAAGTGTATGTGAACTGCTGTATGGAAAGTGAATTTTCTGTGTAAATCTTCACCCAAATCACAATAAAAAAAAAAAATGTAGTTGGTTTGGACGAAATCCACCTAAAGTTTAAATTATATCTCATTTTCTCTTCCTTAACGTAGTGATTTAAAAGGAGTAATAGTCACTCTGAGTGATGATGGTCATTTGCAGTGTTCATACCTGGGGACTGACCCTTCTCTTTTCCAAGCTCCAAAAGTTGAATCTAGAGAAGTGAGCTATGATGAACTTGATGTAGAATTCAAGGAACTTCAGAAAATCATCAAAGATGTTAACAAAACACAAGGTATTGCATTTCTAGCTTTCTATTATTTGATTTTTATAAGTATCCATCGCAAAATTCAGATTGTCTTCTTGTATATGAATAATGTTTTATACATAGTTAATTTTCTTCTTAGACTTAATTAAAATCATATTTGTAAAAATAATGTTGATCATTAGCACACAAGGTCTTTGTGCTTAGTTTGTATGTGATAGCTTTGAAAAACATGTGCTATTTAAGATGTGTTTTAGGATTAGCATTACCTATTGTTTCTCTTTAAACAAAGGAACAAATGTCTTTTGGTAGCAGTTTTAGGTCTTGTGAAGAGCATTAATATTTAGAATGATCATTTGTTAATGTCTAATACCCCTGAAAAAATTGTAGTTGCTTCTTCTAAAAAGATATAAAGCAATACATGAGTTATTATTTATTAAAAATGTAGTCATTTACAGTTTAGTAAACAACAACAATGTAATTTATGTATGTGGTTAATTAGCCGTGCCAATGGAGTATTGTCTGTGTTGTTCTGATTTCTAGTGACTCAGAGACTGATGATATTTTCAGTTCCTAAGTTTTGAGTAACTCAATATTATCTTACTTTGGGATTCACAAGGGTATAATTTTATTGTAAATTAAAAGGAGAAACAAAACACCAATCCTGCAGTTTGACTTGGACATGTGAAAAGCATTACTTTATGTTCCCTTTTCAGGGTCAGGTAAAAGTATTTTTTTAATGAGAAAAAATATGGATTATTTTCTCATAAAAGAAATGTTAAAACAAGTAGGAATAATAAAAGAAGCACAGCATCAAAGCCAACCAAAGCAACATAGCCAGTCTTCATCCTGAATAGTCACTTTACTAGATTTATGTATTTTTTCAGTCTGTTACCAAGATTTTATTCCTTTGTTCCTGAAAAATTTAAATAATATATTTAAAAATATGAATATTAAAATGAAATTATAAAGCTTTGGCTTCACACTTTCTTTTGGAAAGTTTTGAAAGAAAACTAGTGAAGTTAGGTTTAAGTATTTTCAGTTACTAAAAATCTGTTTGATACCATCACCCCCATGTCAACTAGAGAATGGTTAAAATTTGTTTCGTCACATAATAATATACAGGTTTTTCACATTTTTGATACTAGTGTTTTGGGGATTAATGAAATTAAAAGTCTAATTTTGTCATTTGAGAATATAATTTGGAAAGAGGGGTATGTATATGTATATATATATATATATATATATATATGAACATGAAATTTGCAGAGTTCATTAATAAAGTTAATGTGGCTTTTCACTTCACATTTTGTGCCTTGAGAATTTTCCATTTCCATAAGCAATATGCTAATGGTATTTTGATTAACCCTTAATTGTGTTTAAAATTTCTTAGAAAATCACTTACAGCTAAAAGTAATTTCTTGTTGGTCACAGTGATGTCCTTGGGTGAGAAGGTTAAGCTGTTTTTTTTTTTTGTCATTATCTTGATCCTTATGTGTATCTTGAAATAACTGGTAATTAAGCTAGGGAGGTATCCACAGACTTGGGTGCAGAGTTCATTATTTATATAACCTCACATTTCAGTTAATGTTTGAAGTTCACTGCCCCTTCCATACCACTATCATTTGGTTTTATTTCTGAAAAACAAAGAGAAATCTTTTAAAAAGAGAAGCTTTTAAAATATTTTATTTCCCAATATGGAAAAAAAATTTAGAATTCTGTACTCCAATAAAACTCTGTACATTTTTTAAATGAAAATACCTGAGGATGGCACAGGACTGGGCAGTGTTTCTGTTATACATCAGGTATGAGTTGGAGCCAAGTGCACTGCACCCAACAACAGCAAATTATATAAAAGGACCAAATTATTTCACTGCAGAAGGTTATGAGAGATTAAAACTCTGAACTTTTTGATGACCTTATTATTCATTTCAATGTCACTTATTTTAGTACAGTGGCTTTAACTTGCAAGTGTATTTCACGGTTTTGTCAGTTATGTTCAGTACTGACAGTTTTTTTTGAAACCAACAATCTCAGCAATATTTAAAGCCAATTTAAAGAGTATGTTTTGTTGTACACATGGTGCATATTATCCACTGTAATAAAAGTTTTTTGAAGCTAATTTTTTGTGTTTAAGTTATATGAGGAATGCATGCTGTAAGCATAAAATTATAGTAATAATTTCTATATGACTCATGGATACTGCAGTTTATCATATTTAACCTATTAGTGTGAATCCTGGCTTCAGTTTTGTTACCAGTAGTCAACAACATCTGCTGGTAGAATTTCCTTGTGATTTAGGCAGTTGGTTGTGTTCTCTGTGTGGGTTGGTATGAAGGAATGAGTACAGAGATGAGATAGACTCCAACAAAGCTGGATCTTCAAGGAGAGAGGGAGAGGGAGAGGGAGGGAAGGAGGCATGCAGACAGAGACAGACACACACCCACACACACACATACACACAGAGAACAGTAAGATATGGGGAATAGAAATAAAAATCAACACCCTATTGGGAATAATGTCTGGGATAACTATATAATATGCAAT